CGCGAAAACTAAGAGATACCGGCACGGCAGGGATGAGATGGCGCAACCCCCCCCCCAAAGACCTTTAGTCTCGCGGCCCCCCCCCCCCCCCACGCCGCCAACTCTCACACCTGCAGGAAGCGATTCCGTGTCCTCCGACATACCCCTCTGGTCGGGGGGAGGTGCATCACTTGCCCCGCTGGCGATCACTCTGTCCCTGGGCTGTTCGGCCGGGGAGCCGATTCGGGCTTGGGCTCGGGCCACGGGGTTTGTCACAACGGGAGGCGGAATCGGTTTGGCCACGATCGGCTTCTCCCACTGCGTGGTCTGTGACGTATTTCGCAGTGGTGGAGGGGAGGCATTTTGTTTTGGGGGTGGGGTGGGGGTTAGTAAAAATTGCGTGTATATTCATCGCGGGTATTGTTGCTTTGGGCACTTGCACGGACCCAACCGTCGAGCTTCGTGACTTATTTCTCTCTAGGGCGGTGTTTATCCGCTGGCGGTGTGGTGTGTGGCCCCTTCGTACGTGCAAGAGGCAAGGCAGCGGTTGTGCACGTACTGTACTAATAGTCAGGTGTTCATCGGTGACTCCTGAGTGGGCGTTGATACAGGCGGCGGCAGAGCACGGCCCCTCCCCCGCCCCGCCCACGCATGCAAACGAGGCAGCATCCAGCGTCAAGCCGTCTCCTGATATCACATCTACAGCAGTACAATACTCCAACATCATCCACCGAGTTCATGCTGCTGCCGTGCCGGAAAACACGCTGGTGGCGCTACAAAGCATCTAAAAGTAGCATCAATGGTGCCAGAGGGTCTCCTACAGTATACTCATTATAGAATTTGCCACGCGAAGGGACCAAACCTGCGCTCGTCGTGAAGAGCTTTCCTCTCAGGATGGTGCCGAGGCGCTGGCTGGACACGACGCAACCAACTTGGCGACACACAACCACATATCGTGCGCTCGTGCCCCTTGGTGTGCCTTTTCCAAACCCCAACTTCTTCGCAGACTACAATATCTGCTCACCCAACGCCAAAAAAAACAAGAACAAAAAATCCTAATCTGGTATGTTTGCGGCGCCAACGTCGTGAAAAACCCCCAAACCCTCTGGCATTCGCGCTTACCTTGGTGACATGGTTCAAGTACACCCATTGGTCGCCAGCTCGCTTAGCTTCCCAACCTGTGATCCCACCAAGAATAACGGCACAAAAAAATTACGAGGATGCCCGGGGGGGGGGGGGGTAACCTGATCCCAAAACAAATTGTTGTGCGCAAACCACGAGGGTGTTGGCGTTTCCAGCGAGCTCTCCTTCCAGCCCCGTTCGGGGTCCCCGGTAGAATAATTTAAATCTACCGGGCC